TCCTCCCTGGCCAACTCCAGCAGCATCTACCAAAGAGTTCTTCCCCCAATAATAAAAGTTCTTTCCATCATCTCCTCATGTGCTCCCCTGTGCCAATGTCATCTCTAGAACTCCACCTCTTTGAGTCAGACCTGCTTCTCTTCAGGAGCCAGGTGAAGGGATGGGTTGGGTTGTTGTGAAGGAGATGTCCCTCAGTTCATATCTGGATAATAAAGCTGCGATCCCTCCCTCTCCAGTGCCTCCTCTCCTTGTTTGGGTCTGTGGGTTGGGGAGGAAGAGGAATTATGTGGTATACACAGGCTGTGTTGGGCCAGGGGTTTTCAGAGAGGAAGAAAGAATAGCAAAGGCCATGAATAGGAGAACTCAGTCTCATGAATCAGACTGCTTGAGTTCAAATCCCGATCCTGCCACATCTGTACAGTGTTGAGTGTTCTTAGGCAAGACGCTTAATCGCTTGAACCTTAGAAGATTCCAAAGGATTCCAAAAGTATCTCACGGGACTACCTACTATTCTATGGGAATGGACCAATCTTACAATAATGGGTATATTTTTATGTGCAGCCTCGGGGAAAGGGCAGGGGAAATCTCTTTGGTAACCTGGAATTGGAAGAAGAGAGGCAAAGTTCGTCTTGACAAGCAGGGGCTGGAAATTAGCGCCTGACAGGTAGCCGTTGCCTAGGTTACCAGGCAGCTTTTCGTTGGCCTGCCTGCCACTTCCGCATCGAAGGGCTGAATCATGGCGTCATTTCCTGTATGCATGGGCTCCCGTCCACTCGGATTGGCCCGCCTTCTCTATTTGGACGGATGTCCTACCCTCTGGCTATTCCTAGCTGAGGCGGGGCAGCGGGAGCCATGGCGGCTGTGAGCGATGTTCAGCGGCTACAGGCCCGTGTGGAGGAGCTGGAGCGCTGGGTGTACGGACCAGGCGGCTCTCGCGGCTCGCGGAAGGTGAGCGATTTGGGGTCCAGTGGTCCCTCTTTGGGGCAAAGCAAGAGTGGCCTATTGGCCTGGTCCTGCAGATGGATGCTGCAGCTCCAGCCCCGTTGCTCGCAACTAGGCTATTGAAATAGCAAAGGTCCGAGACCTCCCAGAGCATATCGGACCCTCGGGATCCATTCCCATGGAGGGAACTGTGGGCTTGAGGTGGGCTCAAAGATGAGACTCCGTCTTTACCCTCGCGGGATCGTTGGGGAGACCGGACACACGCGAGAAACTGACTAATGAGTAAGAGCCGAAGTCACAGTGAAAGGGACGTTGTGGCGCCTTGCCTAATTCCTAAGTGAATTGTGCAAAGAGAGGTCCATGGAACCCCAAAAGAGGCAGACCAGAGATGGATAAGGAAGGCTCCAGGGAGTTAGGGATGAAGTCTGAGAGGGCCAGGATTAGGAGGGGAAAGGAGTGAATACTGGGTGTTCAGATATAAGCTGACAGTCCTTCCCTCTAGTGGCTGAATTTTGACAGCTCACTTCCCGTCCATCCCCGTTTTTAAACTATGGAAAGACCTTTCACTGAAGGTGGCTGTATCGGGCATACCCTGGAGTTAAGTGCCTCAGAGGTAATGACGTCCATTCGTACACTGCTTGTGGTATTAGTTGTCACTAGATTGTGTCCCATTTGAGAACTGACTTCTCAAAACATTTTTTCCCTTTATCATCTATAATGCAAATCCTCCTGATTTTCCTCCTGTCTCTCTGGCTGCTTTTACTCAGTAAGATTGCCAGGAGAAATATCAATAACTTCAGATATGCAGGTGACACCACCCTTATGGCAGAAAGTGAAGAACTAAAGAGCCTCTTGATGAAAGTGAAAGAGGAGAGTGAAAAAGCTGGCTTAAAACTCAACTTTTAAAAAAATGAAGACCATGGCATCCAGTCCCATCACTTCATGGCGAATAGACGGGGAAACNGCCTGGCATGCTGTGGTTCATGGGGTCGCAAAGAGTCCGACACGACTGAGCGACTGAACTGATTTGCCTCCTCATATATTTGATCCTTGAATATCGGCATTCCTTACCCTCTAATCTAAAACCTGTGTGAGATCATTCACTTTCATAGTCTCTCCCTCTATTCAACCCTTTAATACTGGAATTCCTCATCCTCTACCCTTAAAGCCTAGATCAGTTCAGCCAAGAGGAAGGGATCAGTGAATATATATAGTATGTGCTAGTGCCCCATAAACCCTAAAGTAGTTCATTACTTCCCCAGTCACATGAAACTCCCCGAGGAGTACATGATTATCTACCCCTTCATACTGGGGATTCCCAGAAGGTGGAGTTGGATCTCTTAATACAAGAGAAGGGGATCATTGCAGGTACAAGGAAGTTTGGAGTCTGAGGAAATGAAGATTCTTTATCTCTTCCAAGCCTTGAGCCAAGTGGTAAATCTTGGAATTAACTTCCACTCCCCTTATAGGTGGCTGATGGCCTGGTCAAGGTGCAGGTGGCTTTGGGGAACATCGCCAGCAAGAGGGAGAGGGTGAAGGTTCTGTACAAAAAGAGTAAGTGTTTCCATGAGGTGCCTGCCTGCCCTCCTTCTCAAGCCTATGCCTCCTGTTTCCCTGCCCAGGCTGTTAAGCCCAATAGGTCACTGGAGTTTCCCTTTGGGGATAGCAGGTGAAGACATTTTCCTGATGAAATGGTGGATTGGGGTAGGCTTTCTACTTTGTGGTTAAACCCCAAGCCCATGGCAATGTCATAAGTTATGAGATAAGAGCTCTGCCTGAAAGTCTACTGGGGAAAGAGAGAGGAGGAGTATGAAATTTCCATAGGCAAGGTTCAGGGGCAGGAAAGAAATCAGGCACTGAGAACCCCAGCCTTGGCTCAGCCAGGCCTTTTTGATTATGTCAGAGCTAGCAACCTGTTCAGTAACTAGAAATCAGATAAAGTTCTGGCATGTCTTGGTGGCACAGAGGGGCAAGGTATTACCTTCTACCCTTGAAGATAGATCAGTGAAAATGCTGAGGGCCCCAGGGTATTGCAGGCAACTGTGTTCCCAGCTGTAAAGTCTGACTTTGGCCAGCAGGATGGTTAGATAGCATCACTGATTCAATGGACATGAATCTGAGCAAACTCCCGGAGATAGTGAGGGACAGGGAAGCCTGGCATGCTGCATTTCATGGGGTCCAAAGAGTCAGACACAACTTAGTGACTGAACAGCATGTGATCAGAGGGAAGAGACAGGGAAGTGGGATGGGGGCCTGGTGGACCCTGTGGGTATCAGTTCCTCACTCAAGGCTCTCCCCAAGGCTGACCCTTCCCCTGATATCCTTCCTTCACAAGAATGATCCCCACTCCCCCACGTTGTTCCATTTTCCATCTTGTTACTTTTCTAGTTGAAGACTTGATCAAATACCTGGATCCTGAGTACATTGACCGCATTGCCTTACCTGATGCCTCCAAGCTGCAGTTCATCTTGGCAGGTAGTGCTGGATAGGATGTGCACATGCATCTGGGGGAAGTTGGGCACAGAGATGGCCTCCCTCTCAGTCCTCTCCTGGATGCAGCCCGGGAAGCTAATCTCTGGAATCTGGACTGAGGCTGGAGGTGGACTTGTGGTCCTCTTGTAGGCACTGGGTACAGTACACCCTGGAGCCAGCTGCAGACCAGAGTGCCGGCCACTGTGGAGGTGACTCCAGTGTTCTGTCTATGGCATGCCTCTAGGACTTTCCTTCAGAACCTTCCTTACTTCCGCTCAGTAGACATAGAACTTCTAGGAAAGGGTGGGGGCAGAGAGCATTGCTGTGGGAGAGATGAGGATATAAGCATGGGTTTCAGCATCTTGCAGGTGGGAAAGTGCTGGGATTTCAGAGTTCTAGACAGGAACTATTGTCTTAGCAGTGTTTGCTTATCAGTTAGTTAGCTACTCCATGAGGTATGGTTTGCCATCACCTGTGTTTGTTCATGCATTCAAGTGCTCATCATGGGGAAGTTGGGCACAGAGATGGCCTCCCTCTCAGTCCTCTCCTGGATGCAGCCCGGGAAGCTAATCTCTGGAATCTGGACTGAGGCTGGAGGTGGACTTGTGGTCCTCTTGTAGGCACTGGGTACAGTACACCCTGGAGCCAGCTGCAGACCAGAGTGCCAGCCACTGTGGAGGTGACTCCAGTGTTCTGTCTATGGCATGCCTCTAGGACTTTCCTTCAGAACCTTCCTTACTTCCGCTCAGTAGACATAGAACTTCTAGGAAAGGGTGGGGGCAGAGAGCATTGCTGTGGGAGAGATGAGGACATAAGCATGGGTTTCAGCATCTTGCAGGTGGGAAAGTGCTGGGATTTCAGAGTTCTAGACAGGAACTGTTGTCTTAGCAGTGTTTGCTTATCAGTTAGTTAGCTACTCCATGAGGTATGGTTTGCCATCACCTGTGTTTGTTCATGCATTCAAGTGCTCATCAGGTGTGGTCCAGACTATCCTAGGTGTGAGGTGTACAGCGGTGAACCAGAACATCCCTGAACCATTGCTGTGGCTCAGGCACCGTTCAGGAGGTCTTCCCCTGCACTGATTCTTGAGTCCAGCCTCTCCACCCCTCCCTGTGGCACTGTCTCGGTGTTCATCCCCTGGCACTTGAACAGTTTCCTAAGTCCTCTTCTTTTTTATTTATTTGTTTTTCTTTCTTTCTTTCTTCTTCTTTTTTTTTTTTCCCTTTGCTTATTCCTAGTCCTCTTCTTGACCCTAGTTTCCCACTTCTTGCATGTGGCTCACTGTCATCTTCCCCAAACACATTTTCAGCATGCCACAGTGTTTACTTTGGAACCTCAGCATGTGTGTATCTTTCTCTTCCTACTAGAATAAATTCCTAATTCCTTAGCCTACCATTCAAAGCTCCCTATAGACTGCCGAATCTCCCCTCCCATCTAGCTGTTTCCTGTGCTCTCCTTGCTCCAGTTCAGCCAATTGAATTCTTTTTCCTCTACTGATTGACATGCATTCTTGCCATCAGATGACTGACATAACAGTCCTCCCTTCTTGAATGCTCTTCCCACTCTGCAGTCATTGAAACCCCCTGTGCACAGGGCCATCGCAGTCCTGCTGCGCTTGTCACTGGACTCTCCTCTTAGTGTCCCAGCTCTCCGGGAACTTGTAATTGTGCCTCTGTGATCCACTGAGCACTACCTGCCTGGTATCTTCCACAAGTCTCCTCTTTCAGACCTTTCCAGGAGCCCTTGAGTACTTAATGTCTGAAGTTCTTTGTCTCCTGTGGCCTAGGAGGGGCTCTCTGAATTTGTGGATAGGAGGCTAGAGGGAGAAGCCTCAGAGTTAAAACTTGGAGAAAGGTTGGATTTGGAGGCATTTAGAGGCTCCTTGGCCTCAAGATAGTTCAGACCAGTGGCATCCAGGAGAGGTGGAGGCAGACTAGGGGAGTGTGCACAGAAAGAAGGTGGCAGTGGGCAGAGTGGCTGCCCCCGGCTCCAGGACTCAGCCCTCTCCCTGGCCTGGTCCCCAGCTCCTCGCCTGGGAGTGGCCGTGCCTGGGCCGCCTCACTGCTGCTCTCTTGTCTGTTCATGCCGCAGAGGAGCAGTTCATTCTCTCGCAGGTTGCACTTCTGGAGCAGGTGGACGCTCTGGTGCCCATGCTGGACAGCACTCACATCAAAGGTACCTTCTGGGGTTGCATCTCCTCTGCTCTACGTGGGGAGGTCGGTGGATGGGCAGGACTTCCCTGGGCTCAGACTGGCTCTGCTCCTTGTCTTTACCCTCACCTGAGGGTACTGGCCACCTGCACTGGGATTAAAATTGCCAGGGCAGAGAGCTCAGCTTCAGAACTCGGGCAGTTTGGCCCTAAGGACACTCAGGTAAGCCCAGTGGCCTCCCACTCTAGGATTCCTTCTGTTTTCTACCCCACCCCTCAGCATCTGTCCTTCAGGGTGTTGCAGGGGCCAGGTTTTACTGTAAGAGTTCCTGCGGGGGCGGGGGTGTGTGTGTGTGAATGTGTGTGAAGGGGGCAGTGGGGGGGTGTGAATGTGTGTGAAGGGGGCGGGGGGGGGTGTGTGTGTGTGAATTCTTTCTGCACGCCCAGGGCAGTCCCTGGGCCAGGATTTTGACAAGCAGACAGTGACTTTAATTGAATCCAGATATCCATCTTGTCTGTCTCTGGAGGTATTTTTCCCAGCTCCCCCTCCATACCCCTGATCAGTTTCCTGCTGAGCATCTGACAGCCTTAAGCTGTGGGCCCAGCATGGTGGCTGAGGCTCTGGGTGTTGGGTTCCAGGTGACCAGCTTAGGGACCTTGCCTTTGTCCTCAGCCCACCTGCAGGCTCCCTGTTCCCTGGGCCAGGCAGCTCTGGTCCCGCTGAGCTGAGAGCAAAGGAACAGATCCTATAATAATCAAAGCTTTCGTTACCTGCCCTGCTCACAACACTGGGGTGGGTATATGGGGCAACTCCAGGAACCCCAAGGTTTTGTCTTCCAAGGGCCTGTATCTACCCCTCCCTTTTGGGTCCTAGACTAGGAACTGGGGTGGGCAGGGAGCCCCACCACCACCACCTCTGGCTGCAGTGGTCGATGAAGCTGGCGTTTGTTTAGCTTCTCCACTCAATACTCTAATCCTGCTGAAGACCTAATAGACTATTGAGCAGTCCCAGGGGAAGGCAGCAGCATCACTGGGCAGCGTGCGTTGTGTTTTACAGCCGTTCCTGAGCATGCTGCCCGCCTGCAGCGCTTGGCCCAGATCCACATCCAGCAGCAGGTACGGGAGGGGAGAGGCCAGGTGGGAAAGTAGAGGTAGTGAGGCTCCTTGTCCCCACCTCTGCCTCCTGGGGAAGTAGCCTCAGGAGCTGATGTCAGCTTCAGGGGAAACTTAGGATTTCTCCTTTGTCTTGCATACACCTTCCAGAGGGGAAGGGACTTGCCTAGGGTAAAATCTAGGCCTCCTGCCTCCCAGAATAGGACTATCCTGAGACACCAGAAGATTGATGTTGGGAGGTACCCAAGAATTCCTGGGGATGATGTGTCCTTGACCATAGGTGGAGGAGCTGTTTTTTTCACTATTGCCAGGCTCTAGTGTGAAGTTCAAAGAGGGTTCAGATAATAGGAGACAGGGTAGAAGGGGGCATATACCAGTAGGAATAGGTCTTTAAATGTGTGGTTTGCTCCCTCTTCCATCAGCCTCAGGACTGCAGTTAGGCTACCCATGGCAGAGCCTGAAAGTGCCTCTTTAGAAATTTGCTCCTTTTAGCTCTGAGGTTAAACATTACCTTTTCTGAGGAGCGAGGGTCCCTGATGAGGCAGGCAGTGGGGAGTGTGGACTCTGTCTAACGCCTTTCTTTGCCCCACCTTGGCCCCACAGGACCAGTGTATGGACGTCACTGAGGAGTCCAAGGCTCTCCTGGAGGAATACAACAAGACTGTATCCTTTCCGCTCAGCTGGGTCCCTGAGGAGTGCTGTATGGAGCCTGGCCTTCTACTCCAGTCCCAGTTCTGTCTCTCATCCCATCCCAACCAGTCTGTGTGTCCCCCAGCTCCCCTTGCCTTGAGGAAAGGCAGACATCTCTCTTCTCCCTCTCATTCTCATTGCCACCTTGACCTGTGACCAGACCATGCTTCTCTCCAAGCAGTTTGTGCAGTGGGATGAACTTCTCTGCCAGCTAGAAGCTGCCAAGCAGGTGAAGCCTGTGGAAGAGTGAATGGTGCTTCCCATCCCAGGGTGGGCTGGGGCAGCCAGGCTCCAGGACCTGTGCCAGCCTGCCCTTGTAACAGAGCAGAAGAGAGTTGGCTCTGTATTTATTGGATTCGAGACCTACCTGGTTTCATTCAGGTGGGGCTCTGAGGTCAGAGATCTGGTTACTTGAGATTTGCTCTTTGCACCTCCTCCCTTCATCAGCGTCCTGTTCCAGTGACAATAAAACTGTAGAGACCACTTCAGTAGTGTGTTAGCTTCCTGGTCTTGGATGGGTATGGTGGTGGGGATGAGGGTGATGGAGTCCAGAGTTGTCCATCTTCCTAGGAGTTGGACCACCAGCTATACTCATCCTGGTCTAGCTTTCTGGGAGATATAGAGCTCTCAGGATGAATGCTGTCATTTGCTTGATGTGAGTGGAACATTTGGTTTTGTATCCATTTATCCCACATTTACCAAAGTGAAAGTGAAGTCACTCAGTCATGTCTGACTCTTTGGGACCCCATGGACTGTAGCCTACCAGGCTTCTCCGTCCATGGGATTTTCCAGGCAAGAATACTGGAGTGGGTTGCCATTTCCTTCTCCAGGAGATCTTCCTGACCCAGGGATTGAACCCGGGTCTCCCGCGTTGTAGGCAGACGCTTTGCCATCTGAGCCATCTGAGTGGCCCAGGCTCACCCATGAGGTCGTTTCTGCTGGGGCCTCAGGATGGCAGAGGCGGGTCTTTATGGACACTCGGACATCCAGGCACAACACGTTGACGTATCACTGCATCACATACGCTGAGCCTGCCTGCGGTGAGGGTATCGTGGGATGTGAAATGCAGGCCCATGTTTTCCTGGCACTTTGATCAATCGTTAGGGGGAAGTCTGGCTTATGTGGCAAGTGATTGACTATGTGGTACCCTCTCCCCTGAGCTCGTGCTAAACCCAGACCCCAGACGTGCTCTTGGCATTCCATCTTTCNCATCCCCTTCTCCTCCTGCCCCCAATCCCTCCCAGCATCAGGGTCTTTTCCAATGAGTCAACTCTTCGCATGAGGTGGCCAAAGTATTGGAGTTTCAGCTTCAACATCAGTCCTTCCAATGAACACCCAGGACTGATCTCCTTTAGGATGAACTGGTTGGATCTCCTTGCAGTCCAAGGGACTCTCAAGAGTCTTCTCCAACAGGGTGAAGTTAAAGTTCAGAACTCGGTGATCAAGGCTCTCGCGCCAGCAGCAGCCACATCACCCGGCACCTCTAGCTCCGGTCCAAAGAGAAACCCGCCACTCTGCCTCTGCTACTGCGGTGTGCTCAGCAGGTAACGCCCGCCCTGCATCTTCTAAGGGCCGAATCCTCCGCATGCTTCCGATCCGGACTTCGGACGCGGGACTCCTCGTCTGGCCGCTCCTCTCCCCCGCAGCGCTCTCTCAGCTCGCAAAGCAGTGCTCCTTGCCCGGGGCAGAACAGCGAAGACACCCCGCGTGCTGCGGGTCGGCGAGTCCGGGCCAGCTCACTCCCCAGCGTCCCTCACCTCTCAGTTTGCGAACCCGGCCCCTCAGGCCCCGCCCCGTCCGGCGTGCGCGGCCCCGCGACCTCGGCGCGCTCTCGGCCCGCGCCATCTTGGCTTCAGATCGAGCGTAGGGAGTGCGCGGCCGCGGCGGTGAGAGCCGGAGCCCTGCGGGGCGGGGGCGCCTGGAGGTGCGAGGAGGAGAGGGGAGGCCGAGTGCTGGGCCTCTGCGGTGGCCCGTGGCGGTGGGGACGGCGGAGCCTGGCCTCTCGCGGCCCCGACGCCAGGGGTGGCCCGAGCCTCTGCTTCCCAGTGTCTGAGGGACCCTAGGTTGGGGGGATCGACCCTGGAATCTCTGGATGAAAGAGGGGTGCCCGGCCGTGTCCTTGGGGTCCAGGAGTTGGGGAGGGGATCGTTTCTGTCTTTGAGGAGCTTTTGGATGAGGGCTCTTGGCTCCGTTTGGGGGAGCATGGGGTGTGGGGGGGAGGGCTTGGCCCTGACCTCTGGTAGCACGAAATGAGGCGCCTTCGCCCTGTCACCCCGTGGGGAGCCCCGGGTGAGGAGCACTCAGCCTTGTGCTCGGGGAGTCTCGGGTGAGGAGGGCCCGGACCCAGTCCGCGGGAGCCCTAGATGAGGAAGGTTCATTCCCAGTGCCAGGGAGCTAGAGATGGAGGGGCTTGGCCGGTGTTCAGGGTCGGTGGAGGGTCATGGCCCTGTCCAGAGGACTGGGGTACATCCCCCCCTAGGGGGAGGCAAGCATGACCCCTTGTCCTGGGGATGAAGGGTTTAAGGTCCCATTTCTGGGAGATCTGGGCGGAGCAGCGCCCTAGGGAGGCAGGGTGGCGGTGGCCTGGGACACAATGCCCACGATCCTCTGACTTCCTGCAGCAGGGCAGCGAGGCGGACGCGACAGCAGGCTGGATGGAGCATTACCGGAAAGCTGGCTCTGTGGAACTCCCCGCACCTTGCCCAATGCCCCAGCTGCCTCCTGATACCCTGGAGATGCGGGTCCGAGCTGGCAGCAAGATCCGCAACCTCTTGGGCCTGGCGCTGGAGCGGCTGGAGGGCGGCAGCGCTCGCCACGTCGTATTCTCAGGCTCTGGCCGCGCTGCAGGCAAGGCTGTCAGCTGTGCTGAGATTGTCAAACGGCGGGTACCAGGCTTGTACCAGCTTACCAAGCTGCGCTTCCTGCAAACCGAGGACAGCTGGGTGCCTACCTCACCTGACACAGGCCTGGATCCCCTCACGGTCCGCAGCCATGTGCCTGCAGTGTGGGTGCTGCTGAGCCGAGACCCCCTGGACCCCAATGAGTATGGCTACCAGCCCCCCGGGGCACCCCCTGACCTCGGGCCCACACCTGCCTCCAGCTGTGGCCCTCAGCCTAGAAGAAGGGCTCGCGATACCCGGTTCTGACGACCTGTGGGCAAGCTGTTGTCTAGACTGAGTGTCTAGGATGGCTGTACCTGTGAGAAGCCTCTAACTGCTCAAGGTTTCCAACAAAACTTGAGTTTACAGAAGCGGGCCTCCCTGTCCTGCTTTCGCCTTCCCGCTGGCTCCTGGAAAGGGACTTTTGTGATGAGTGACAGGTGTGGAAAAAGTAACATCCCAAGTCAGTGTGTAGGTCAACTTGCCACAGCATAAAAAAATACAATATTATGTAGAGAAAGAAGAAGGTACTTGCCTTCTACATACAGTGCCTCTCATCTGTCTTCTGACAGAGATCCAAGGAGTAAGTGAGGAAATAAAGTCTCTGTCCGTTTGTCTGATGAACCTCTGCTTGGCCTGCTGTGTGGAAGTGGGATTAAGGAAGTGGGAGTCCCTGCACTTGACCCCCAGGAGCTCCCAGTCTGGAGACAGGAAAAGTAGGTTCAGATGGGTGCTGGGAGGATCTGGACTGAAGAAGAAGCCTCAAGCAGTAACCTGACTGTCTAGATCCCTGGGTGGCTGTCTGCTTCCTGTTTGGGGCAGGTTGAAGGACTCTGCATTTTTCTCCACTTGCAGCATAGAGACATACCTCGTTTTGTTGCACGTCGCAGATACTACATTTCTTACATGAGAAGTGGAGTTTTGTGGCAACCCTGCATTGGACAAGTCTGGCAGCGCCATTTTTCTAACAGTGTTCACTTTGTGTCTCTGTCACATTTTGGTAATTCTCAAAATATCTCACACTTTTAATTATTATATTTGTTATAGTGATCTATGATGTTACTACAGTAACTCAGTGAAAGCTCAAATGATGGTTAGCATTTTTTAGCAATAAAATATTTTAAAATTAAGGTATGTATGTAGATTGTTTTTTAGACATAATTCTGTCACATTCATAATAGACTACAGTATAGATAAACATAACTTTTTTAAGCACTGGGAAACCAGTAAACTTCTGTGACTTGCACTATAGAGATCTTCCTTTTATTGAGGTGGTCTGGAAGTGAACCCAAAATGTCTCTGAGGTATGCCTGTATTACAGTATAGTGGTTGAGATCATGGCTTTGGTCACCAGACTACCTGGATTTGAATCCTGGTTCTGCCACTTACTAGGAAGTTACTGCTCTGTGCTTTAGTGTTCTTATCCATAGAACAAGATGTAGGGCTTGCTTCATAGGATTGTTATGAGGATTAAATGTAGAAATATACATGATTCTTAGATACCACCTGGACCTGTATACCCTCAGCTCTCCATATCTGTGGATGGAGAACTCGTGGATACAAAGGGCTGACTGTACTCCACCTTTTTATTTAAGGGACTTGAGTATTTTGGTAAAAAGAAATCAACGGGGGCTCCTAGAGCCAGTTCCCCCGAGGATACCGAGGGATGACTGTAAATGTTCATTGCCCTCATTATTAATGAGTCAGTTTACAAACATGCTTTTTCCTTAAAAACATAACCTCAATTCCACATTCCCCCTTCAGTTCTCACCCTTTTTATCCCTAGCAGTTCCTCTTCTGTCTCACCTTGGCTGTAGACTCAGGGTTACCATGGACAGGTCAGGAGCATAAGGAGCAGTGAAGATTGTAGTGGTGGCCAGGAGGCTACGGGAACCAGAGCAGGATTGTGAGCAGTAGTGGACTCAGTGAAGAGTTGAGCAAATGGGGTCTTCCACTGGATTTTATGTTCTCCATTGTGTCCACAGCTTGGGTGTCCAATCACTAGGCAAGCACAAAGTGTGGACTCATGGGACCATGTAGCAGGGTGGGCACAGCAGTTGGAGGGTGTTGAAGTGATGTCTGGCTGAGTCCAGGCAGGTGGGGTTGAAATATTGGGAGAGATGGAGTTAGGGAACTGGAGGCCTCAATAAGGGCTTAGAACAGGCATGAGGGGACCACAGGACCAGTAGGCTGTGGTCAAAACTCGGAACACTGCATCTCTTTCTTTCTAGGGTAAGTTGCCCAGAGTGGAGGGGTGAGAGATGAAGATTCGGGGCATGCTAGGAAAGACAGAAAAACCCTCTGCAGCTTCCCAGCTGGGCCTCTCAACTGCAGAAGGTCATGAAGCATCTGATACCATCCTAATGGCTGTGGTCCTGACTTGGTGTCTTGCTACCAGCAACTGCCTGACTTACTCTCTGTGTCTAATTCACGTTTTTTGCTCCCGCTCAGCTTCTGCATCTTGCCATTTCTCTGAACATCCCTACTTCTGTGTCCTTTACCATCAGTAGCTCCCTGTGTATCATCGGTCCCCAGCGACTTGGGACCAGGCTTCTTGCAGACTATTGATCTTTGGCTCAGCATCCCATCTTGATTCAGTGTGTGGTGGCCATGGTGGAAAGTGCATGTGAACCAAGCGTGGTGACTATGTTAAGGGAGTGATTCAGTAAGGCAGCATCATAGGCTCTGGGATTCCCAGGATGGACTCCCCACTGGGCAGCTCCTCATTAAGGCACCACCTGGGGTCTTGATGATGGCAGGGGATGTGGAGGGAAGCTGAGCTGCAGTCAAATCCCTTAAGAAGAACAGGATCTGCCACTACTCAGAGAATCAGGAGATAGGACACAGGCTGAGGGAGCAACAGCTAGTGAATCTGGGGCCTTTTCCCTCCTTGGCCACTGAAGGGGCCCAAGTGAGGAATGGCAGGGAGGGAGCCAGAGTGAGGCCTTTAGAATCAGAAAGCCTGACCAAGCTTAGGAGGGAGGGAGCATAAGTGCTACGTACATTTGCCAATTCAATTTCTTCTCACTTTCTACTTAATTCACTGTAATAGAGCTTCTTCCTCCATAATCTCTTAGCACAAAAGGTAGGGAAGTGGAGATAGCTTTTTCAACAAATTATTGTGCTGGGAGGCGAGAGATGATTCAGGGATACAGAGAGTTTTATATGTTTATTTTTAATAAATTAGCAGAGACTAGTTTGTAGGCTGATGGGGGAAGCCAGTAGGGGAAGGAATGGAGATGCATGAGATTGTGGCTAATTCAGACTCCTGGGGGCGATGAAAGGGAATGGGTCTTCAAGTGGGGAGGTACGGGCCTCCCAAGGGGCAGAGGAGAGATGTCTGCCTGTAGCAGGAGGGACAGAGTTGAGGGTGGCTATGCATGCAGGTGGGTATAGAGGTAAAGGTGAGACACGAGGGAATTCAGAGTTCAGAGGCTTCTAATCTCAAAGCAGGAGTCCAGCTCTGCTGCTGAGAGTGGACCTAGGAGGCTGGTGGAGAGTTGTTTCAACTGGGGAAGACAGCTAGTGAGGTTCGGGAGGGTGCCCAGCCAGGGCTGGGAGCCCAGATGAGGTTGGTGACCATGACCTTGTAATATCTTCAGTCAAGGTGCACTCCAGCAGTACCCACAGGTCAAGTGAAGACTCAGGAAGCAGGAATAGTGAGACTGTCAAGAGAGTGTATGTGAAGAAGGTCCAAGGAATCCAATCTAGGTTGGGAAAGAAGTGCAGATAGAAAGGGGCAGGGGTCAGTGGCCTAGAAGTCCTTATAAAAATGGGGTGGAGTGAGGTGGAGTATGTCAGAGAAGTGGGACAGTGTCATATGCTTCCCTGGTGGCTCAGAGGGTAAAGCGTATGCCTGCAGTGTGGAAGACCCAGGTTCGATCCCTGGGTCAGGAAGATCCCCTGGAGAAGGAAATGGCAACTCACTCCAGTATTCTTGCCTGGAGAATCCCATGGACAGAGGAGCCTGGTAGGCTACAGACCACAGGGTCACAAAGAGTTGGACACGACTGAGTAACTTCACTTTCAGTTTCATCATAGTGGTACCAGTTTCTAGGGCACCCATAACAAAGGACCACCAACTGGGTGGCTTAGAACAACAAAACTGTTCTGTCTCACAGTTTTGGAGACTAGACTCCCCAAATCAAGATGTCAGAGCCATTTCCCTCCGAAACCTGCCTGAAAATCCTTCCTTAATGCTTCCTAGCATCCAGTGTGCCGACAGTCTTTGGTCTTGGCTTTCGGCCCCTTTACTCCAGTCATCCGTCTTCACATTGTCTTCCCTTTGTGTCTGTTTCTGTCTCCAAATTTCTCCTTTTTATAAGGACGCCAGTCATATTTGATTAGGGCCCATCCCAATGGCCTCATTTTAACTTACCTCTGTAAAGATCCTATTTTCAAATAAGGTCACATTGTGAGGTACTAAGGGTTAGGACTCCAATATATTTATGGAGGGATGCAATTCAACACTTCATAGTAGCCAAAGGATGAAATGAAATCAGTGAGTTTGAGAGTTTTAGGATCTAGCAGGACTTGATAGTGGGCATGAGGGTAGATACCTGGTGGTCTAGAGGGAAAGCCACTGAAGATGAGGTTGAATTTAAGAGGCTGGGGAGGGCGATCATGGGTATGTTGAGGAGGCGGGAGCATCCAAGATAGAATGTGTGAGCGTTTTCACTACCTGCCTTTGAGGTGGCGTTCAAGCGAGTCCCCGTGAAGTGGGGACTTCAGAACAATATGACCGAAGGAGCTTTATACCTCCCACATGCAAGCAGGTGCCAAGTCCTGGCAATTTTGCTTCCCAGGTCTCTCCATTCCCACAGACTCTGGTGATTTGTGCCCATGGTTGTCTTGCAACAGTCTCCTTGCTAAGTCTCCCTGCTTCACTCCCCTCTGAGCTCTCCAAGAGGGAACTGGCTGTTCCCTTTGGAATGCCCTGCCAGATACCTGCATGGCTATCTCCCTGCCTCCTTTAAGGCTTTGCTCAAATGTCACCTCAATGAGTCCTGTTTTGACCACTCCATTTAAAACTGCAGTCGAGCACCTCTGATCTCCCTTACTCTGCCCTTTTTCTTCTTACTTCCATGGCACAGTTCGTCTTTGACTCAGTCCCCTTGGACCCTGCGCCCTGGCCACACTAACTCCTCACTCTTCCCACTTGTCATGAGATTTTTCTGCTTCTGAGCCTTTGGTGTTGCCATTCTTTCTGCTTAGAGCTCATCAAGATTTTTCAAAGGACACCAGTGGCACTCCCTGTTCAGAACCTAGCTCCTCACTCTCCACCATTTGCCTGGAGCTCCAGGATCAGTGCCGTTTGATAGGACATAACCACTTCCAGGTAATGTCTGGCTGCACTTTTGAGTTTGTCCATAAGATGGCATCATTTGCGAAGGAATAGCCCATTCCTTCCCTTTGCAGGGTCTGTGCAGTTAGGACACAGAGAGGGTAGTCAAGGCTTGAAATTTGGCCTTGCATAGGCGTAGTGACCTCTCAGGGCTTCCCAGGTGGCACTAGTGGTAAAGAATCCGCTTGCCAATGCAGAAGACATAAGAAACTGGGTTTGATCCCTGGGTTAGGAAGATCTCCTGGAGGAGGGCATGGAAACTCACTCCAGTATTCTTGCTTGGAGAATCCCCATGGACATCCCCAGAGGAGTCTGGCGGGCTACAGTCCATAGGGTCGCAAAGAGTCAGACACGACTGAAGCGACTTAGTGACTTCTCAGCTATTCAACAAATAGCTAATTATCACCCATAATGTGACAGATATTGTCACTGGGCTTGGAAGCTCCAGCCCCATGAGGGCTATAAGTCATATATTTCAGTGATTTCATTATTGGTGTGATAAGTATAGAAATTAAGCAAGTTCATTAGACTTCGGGAGATCAGATCCCTCATCCAGTCTTTAGGAACAGGCAAAGCTTCAAAGGGAAGGAGGTAGTGCCTATGTAGGATCTCGAATAAGAGCTATGACTATCCTGAGAATCCAGTGGTTAAGACTCCATGCTTCCAGTGCACGGGATGCAGGTTCAATCCCTGGGTGGGGAACTGAGATCCTGTATGGCATGTGGCATGGCTCCCCAACAAAGCTGGAAGAAAAGTGGAAAGGACATTCTGTGTAAAGGGCAGGAA